AAGTAGAAAGGAATTAAAAGAACACACATCAAGTGCTTATTTATAGTAAAATTGTTTGATTTTACATATTTTGAAGGAAACGATGGATTCTATTGCATTTGCAATTATAACAATGGAGTAAGAGCGCGCTTTGGGAATGATTTCACAAAGATATGCGGAGCTGTGGTGCATAGTAACCATGGGCGCATGTATGTCAGCTTCTGGTTTAATTGTTGAACCACAAGCCAGAACTCCTCCTATGCCGAAAGAACTGGTTCTCAATCCAGTTAATGTAATAACAGCTTCTTCCAAGCCATTGACAACATGCACTTGGTTAGGTCCACCACTTGTTGTGCTTGCTTCTGCCTTCGACCGCACTTAGGGATTATAACCCTTACTAAGTAGGGCGTAAAATAATAACTGTCGCACAGGTTTTTTGAAAAATAAAAGGGCCACTTATAGATTTTGCGAAAAAAGTATCCTATTGTTAACTTTGTAAATATTTTACTTTAATTTTATTAATTAGTTTTAAAACTTTAATCCTTATTTGCATTTTCCCGCAATGGGAGATAAGTACATGTCTTTTTCAGGTGTGATTTTTCTTTGACTTTGTATAAAAAAAAGAAAAAAAACTGTATATGGTCGGTCGAAAGAATGGCCTCCTAGTCACCGGTTCCGAGTCTATTCGATTGCTGAGGGGAGTATAAATGACTCAAATGGGGAAAATTAGCCTATGGTTACAGAAGATATGTAATAAAGCAACCGATGAAGACCACTGGTAAACCCAAATGAAGGTTAAAATTCAAAAACTAGTTAATAAAATTTAAGTAGTTTTTACTTGCAAAGTGCAAATGAAGGTTAAAATTTAAAAACGAAATAATAAAATTTAAGTAAAATATATGGAAAATTAACAATGAACTACTTTTTTTGCAAAATCTATAAAAGACCATTTTATTTAAAAAAAAACCTGTGCGACAGTTATTATTTTACACCCTGTTTATGATAAAATATTAATAGCTGGAAAAAGGAGTACAAAAGAAGTACAAAACTAAGAAAGGAGTACATTTCCAGATAATTTTTTTTGGGAGTATAAGGGAGTACATTGCAATAAAAAGTAGTACGTTTACTCCCAAAAGCAGTACGTCTGGTATCCCTAGTGCACAGTGCAAACCGAATTTTTTAATAAACTTCTTCTTCTTCTTTTTTGGCGCTGTAACCGCCTAAGCGATTTTGGCCGAGTTCCTCTGTGCCAACTGACGCCAATTGGAAACGCCAAGTGAAGCCAAGTCCTTCTCCACCTGATCTTTCCATCGCAGTGGGGCCTCCCTCTTCCTCTGCTACCACCAGCGGTTTCCGAGTTGAATACTTTCAGAGCTGGAGCGTCGGTGTCCATTCGAACGACATGACCAAGCCAGCGGAGCCGCTGTATTTTAATTCGCTGCACTATGTCCATATCGTTGTAAAGCTCATACAGCTCATCGTTCGATTGTCTGCGGTACTCGCCGTCGCCAACGCGTAAAGGCCCGTAAATCTTCCGCAAACTCTTTCTCTCAAACACTCCAAGAGCCGCCTCATCGGATGTTGTCATTGTCCATGCTTCTGCGCCATATACCAGCACGAGCATGATGAGTGACTTATAGAGAGTGGTTTTCGTACGTCGAGAGAGGACTTTACTTCTGAATTGCCTACTCAGTCCAAAGTATTAGAGGTCTGAAACTATAGATACTATCGATGATTTTCGACTATCGAGATGCCATCGATAGTTTTCCTTACTATCGATAGTTTTCTATAGTTTTAAATTTGTTTTCTTCACTATCATACTTTATTTGTCTATTGTCTATTCATTCTCTAATTCGCTACTGATTGTCAGCACTTTTATATATGTCAAATTCAATGGACGCAATGAAATTGACCGCGCCATTTGTGTTTGCTGCAAAAAAAGAGTAAATATGAACAAATATCTGATTAAAAAGGGAAGAAAAGGTAATTATGATTATAAACTACATACTAGAAATGTTAATTACAATCCACTCAAATTTGTTTTAAAATTTTTCAGAGGCAGAAATCCAAGTTTCTGTTGAAAATAGTGCAACCGATTCCGATGAATGCGTTGCAATCACACACTCTAGCAACGGCGGCACTAAACGCAACAAAGGCTTTTCTAAAGTATAAATATTATATATTATTTAATGTAATAACTATTTCCTTATTATTTATTATACTTTCAGGTATGGAAATACTTTGTTAGATCGCAGGATAAAAAATTAGCGAAATGCGTTAAATATGGAAAGGAGTATAAAACTTCCCACTGGTTTTACCTGCGTGACCACTTAACGAGGATTCATCCTAACTGCGAGGAAAACGAAGAGAATTCAGATGTTAACTTCTCTACCAGTTTAAGCAGTCGCCAGCCCAGCATAAGATCAATTGCGTCTTATTTTAGTCGAGCTATTGAATATGAAAATGATTCAAAAAGAAAAAAGGATATCCACTACGCATTGACCAGATTAATAACTGGGGGTTATCATCCCCTAAACATTGTGCATGACGAAGACTTCAGAAGCTTCGTTCGGGTTTTAGGTCCACGCTATGTGTTGCCAAGTTCGAAAACATTGCGTGATGTATTATAAAAAAACAGTACGACCTTTCTAAGGAAAAATTGAAAGTTACCTTGGCTGATATTGATTGTCAGCATCACTTGCGACGCTTGGACATCTGTAGCGAATGAGGGTTATCTTACCCTTACATGCCAATTTCTTGTGGATTTTGAGATCAAGTCATCCGTGTTGTTAACCAAAAAACTCGATGGTCCCACCAATAATAAAGCCACAAATATGGCGAATTCCATACAGAGCGTATTAGATGATTGGGAGATTTTTCGAAAAGTTCGTTGCATTGTTACAGACAATGCCAATTCGATGATCAATGTATGTGCTCTACTAAGAAAAACACATCTTGGTTGCTATGCACATACATTAAGTTTAGTAGTGCAAGACGGTTTGTCACAGAGCAATAAACTATCAGACTTACGAAAAAAGTGCAGACACATTGTATCCTTTTTCAAGTTCTGTACGATAGCAACAACAACAACTACAAACTATGACATAAAAGGAATAAGCCCTGAAGATTTCATTCAATTCGGTTAAATAATTTATGAGATATTGTGAATCGAAGAAAAAATGCCATAAAAATTGTTTATGCAATAACTTGCGAAATGTATATTTTTTTGAAGTTTTGTTGATGGGAGTTCCTTTCTATGCTCCTGAATTACATATCCACCATATTAAAATTAAAAATCAAAGAACTTTAATTTTTACTGATCGATTTCATGAATTCTAGCCAGTGTTGGCAAAATGTTAATCCGATTAACGATTAAAAATTAACGATTAAAATGTTAATCGCGGTTAACGATTAAAATTAATTAATCGTAATCATCTGTATGATTAATGATTAAATTTTTTTAATCGTTAATCGTCGGTTGTGATTACGATTAATTAATTTTAATCATCAATCGGTAATCCGATTTAAAAAAATCTGATTAAGTGGTCTAGTTTGTCTGCATTTTAAATCAAACACCATATGTGACCTGGTCTACGAAAAGGGAGCTTACGTGCGAAAACTAGTTTTCTGTGAAAAAGCTGTTAAAAGTAAGCAACTCGTTTCGTCAGTTTCTCATTATCTCGTTAATTGTTCTCCGCGCCGGACGTCCAGTAAGTGTTGTTGTTGGTCCAGTAAGTGTTGTTGTTGGTCCAGTAAGTGTTGTTGTTGGTCGGAATATTATTATAGTTTTATTATTATTATTATTAATATTATTATTATTATTATTAATATTATTATTATT